TAATAGATTTCGATATAGATGATAATTAAAAAAATCTTTTTTCATTTAGCCACAGCAGCCAGAATCAAGTTGGCGCAATACTGGAAAAGAAAAAAATTACCCTCGATAGATCAGTGGATACTAAAAACTGTAGATATAATGAATATGGATTTGCTAACTCAAAGAATGTCACAAAACAAATCTAAATTAGGAGAAACAAATTGGGAAAAATTAATAAACTATATTGAAGCAGAGAATAAGGAGATTAAAGGTGTGAAAATAAAACAATATGAGTAAGAGGTCATAAAAACAGGTAAAACCAAGGTTCACTTGACAGGAAGACCAATCGACTTGCAGTCGAGAAAGAAGAAAGAAGAGTCTTGACTGGGAATTCCTGGAAGTGCTTTACTCCAACCGTGATCTGTATATCCCCCATATTCCCATGTGACTCCCCCCCTTTTTCCCCCCCTTTTCCCTCTCCCCCTCCCCACACCTTATCCTTCTTTTCTATTCCTACTGTCCTATCTAACCATATTGTTCCCCCACTTTACATGTTCAACAATGTTTTCATTTTAAAAATACGGAAAATTCTAGTCTTTCTATCACGCTCTACCCTAAGAGCACATATTCTAAATGAAAATATTTTAAAAACATTCTCAGCTACACAGAAGGTGAGTATGAAAAAGAAGTCTAGGAAGGTATAACAACACTTTATAAAAAGAAACTTCTTTCTTAGGCCTCTTTTACACTATCTGCTTTGAACTGGATTATATAGGAGTGCAAACTCAGATAATCCAGTTCAAAGCAGATAATGCTACATGTATTATATAGCAGGATAGAAGGGGTCACAGAGATTTTGTTAAATGAGGTGTATCTGTACTATCTAGAAATTCTCTTAGACCTCAGTCAAGTTACATATAATTTGAGTTTTATGGGAGATTCAGAGAGCATAGTATCTTCCATTTTTAATCCTCCAATGTTTTCCCACTAAGTACTCTGTATTTTTTCCAATGTGTGTTTCTCCATGGGGCTTTAACTTTACAGTTCTAGTCCAGATGATGATTGCAGAATAGGGGTACCATCAAAGTTTTGTGTTAAATTTCCTTGATTTTCTTTTCTTTTTCCTTTACCAACCTTTGCTAATTTCCCTAATTCCTATCCTATCTGATTTGTCATCAATCCACTCCTTTGGGCTTCATGCAAACCTACCATTTGCCATAATATATGATCCTGTGCTTTTCTTTTTAATTTCTACCCAAATAGCTTAACCATTGGTTTGTCCCATTGAATACAAGGTCTGCCCAAGGGCTGTTTGTGGTCTCTTGGTATCAAGTTCATTATTTGACTGCCTGTTAGGAATTGTGGGAGTTGAAGTTCATAACACCTGGAAGTCCAAAGTTTGCCCATGCCTGATCAACATACACTGGATTGCATTGCTATTTAATATAGCGGTTGCTTAACCTGGCTCCACTGGAGAATATTTACCCTGCAGTGAAGCAATATAGGATCTTGACCTTTGAATTCTTGTGGCTGACTGGTCTGAGTTCTCTTCTGCAAAAAAAAAGTCTGTGGTTTTGATATGTAAGGTAAATGTAAAGTTTTCTCCTGACATTAAGTCTAGTCATGTCTGACTCTGGGGGTTGGTGCTCAACTCCATTTCTAAAATGGAGAGCTGGTGTTGTCCATAGACACCTCCAAGGTCATGTGGCAAACATGACTGCATGGAGGACCATTACCTTCCCGCAGAAGCAGTACCTATTGATCTACTCACATTTGCATGTTTTTGAACTACTAGGTTGGCAGAAGCTGGAGCTAACAGAGGCAACTCATCCTGCTTCCTGGATTCAAATCACCAACCTTTCGGTCAGCAAGTTCAGCAGCTCAGCACTTTAACCCGCTGTGCCACCAGGATTAAATATGTATGATCCCCTTTTTTCTGTACCTATTTCAGGGTTGTAGCCTTAATGTCTCACGTCTCTCCCATCTACACACAGAGAGAGGAAGGGAGGCAGAATAAACAGGTTGGATTTTATCTGTCATTACATCCCTTGCTTATATTTACTTACTCGCTTATTGCAGCATTTGCTTGCTAAGTGCCCCATAGCAATGCACAACAGCCAAAATTACAGCTTGAAAACAAAAACTAAATGCATACAAACAAAGCAGTAGCAGAGGCCAACCCTGGTTTTAAGAAACAAAGGCTAGTCACGCCTGCCTTCAAGAAATTCAAAATGATGGTGCCAGGCTGACCTCCATATTTACAAAGCAGCTCCACCTTTTATTGCTGAGGAGTATAGTATTAGTTAGGCCTATTTTTAATACTAATTCAAGCAACCAGAAACTATATTTATCCGGCATCTACCTATCCTCATGAGTGCCAGTTAACTGAAAGTCTACTAGCTGTTCTGGACTATGAATTTGTGTATGGCCTTCCCTCTCCTTCTCTCTGTGCATTATTTTTTTCTTTTGGGAGGAAAATTAAGGATGCCATCATGGACTGCACTGTGGAGAAAATGTTGGTTTCGATAAATGCAAAATGTGTATGTAATGTTTGTGTGTGTGTGTAAAACAATGTGATCTGCTATAGTATTGTGTTACAATACTATAGCAGTATTGTAACACAAGAAGCTGCAATGGGTTAAAGCCTTGTGCTGGCTGGACTGCTGACCTGAAGGTTGGGTTGCTGACCTGAAATTTGCTGGTTTGAGTCCACAGGATGGGTGAGCTCCTGTCTGTCAGCTCTAGCTTGCAGGGACATGAGAGAAGCCTCCCAGCAGGATGGTAACACATCCAGGCGTCCCCTGGACAACGTTTCTATAGGCAGTCAATTCTCTCATACCAGAAGCAACTTGTGGTATGTTCTCAAGTTGCTTCTGACATAATAAAAAAGTATTGTAAGTGAACTGAACTCTACAGCTGACTAGAGAGAATAAGGGCCGCTTGCTTTGCTGCCTTCTGTCAAAATATTTTTAAATTATCAGGAACTGATTCTAGTTTGTTTGAATTTAGAAATCATCCAGATATAAGGAGCCAGTTAGCTTCTATATGACAACAGATTTCTGTACAGCTATTTTATTCTTTTTTAAACAGTTAACAACTATTAACAGTGCCTTTAAAGACATACACATTTTCAGAGAAAAGAGAAAAAAGAAAAACTTTTAAGAGTAACATACCAAGAATGGACACAATGGTGGTCAATGTTTAAGTCTTCTTATGTTTTATATACATTTTTCCTTTTTTTCCTTGTTTCTATTACTATTAGTTACTACTTTGAAGATCACGGTTGAAACAAACTTTAAATCGCAAAGGATTAGAAGGAATTCACTATTTTTATTTTTATCCCTTTTTCCATTTTCTTTATTTTTTTACCTTTTTTTGTATTTGGTTCCTCTAGTTTGTCCCCCCTCCCTCCCTTTTTCTTTTCCTTCCTGCAAAAAAAGAATTACACATTTTCAAAAATAATTGCAAAAACTGTTCAAGAGTGTATACTTTTTAATGAAAAAATATTCCCAGTTATAAACTAGTATGTTTGTGTGTGTGTATGTGTACATACACATATGTGTATGCTTTGAATGCAATTTTCCTGCTTCTTAGCAGGGGGTTGGACTGGATGGCCCACAAGGTCTCTTCCAACTTTATGATTCTATGAGTGTACACTCACTCACTCACACACACACACACACATGGGGCAATGGGGAACTACAAAATAAATATACCCACAAATTATAAAGTCTGTATTCATTTTTTTGCCAAAATATGATTTCCAAGAATTTAGAATATCTACATTTCTTAGAAGAAGAAAAAGGCAAAGCAATAACAATCCCAGAATTATAAATTATTGTGGTTGTATATATTTTGCCTCCACCTTCATAACTCCTCAACAGATGGCAGTACTGGTATGAGGCAGGTATTGGCTTGTTCAGTAGACTCTCCTCTACAGTTCCATTTTGGCGGGAAGCCTTAGCATTGAATGGTTGTGTTGTTAAAGTGCGAAGTATGGAACCCTGCGCAGATAGTCGGTCAATGCAACTTAAACAACATGCAGTCATTGAATTCTTGACAGCAGAAGGTGTCACCCCAAAGGAGATTCATCAGAAAATGCAAGCTGTTTGTGGTGATTGTATTGATGTGAATACTGTGTGTCGTTGGGCGAATAAGTTTAAAGATGTTGAGGTGGGAAGATCTGACTTGCATGACAAACAAAGAGTTGGACATCCTGTGACAGCAACCACCGAGTTTGGCAAGCAAAAGGTTGACAGACTGATTCAGGACGATTGTCGTATCACTCAGAGAGAAATTTCAAGCATAATTTTCCACCCTACTTGGGGGACACGGGCAAACCCAGTTCATCCCAGTGTTTTGACTGGGAGCTGGACTCACTCATTGGCCTGATCGTCCCTGTCCTCTCTCTTTCATCTGCCTTCCTCATCTACTTCTGTGGCTCCGTGAATGGGGCTTATAGTACTCCAGTTCGACTATTGTTGCATCTACACAAGGCATGGGCCAACTTGGGCCCTCCAGGTGTTTTGGACTCCACCTCCCACCATTCCTCACAGCCTCAGGCCCCTTCCTTTTCACAAGAGTGTGTGAGTCACATTATTGCTTTGCTTGGCTATCGGAAGATCTGTGCACGATGGGTACCCAGGATGCTGACGCCTGAAATGAAAGCCCGCAGACGGCTTCAGAAAACTTGTTCATCGTTGGCAGAAATGTATCCAATTGTCTGGTGATTATGTGGAAAAGTGAATAGTGGTAGTTAAAGAGCACATTCTAAGGATTATTTCTGCGTTTGATTTATAAAAATATTCCCATCCAAACCCAAGTAACGAAGGTGGAGGCATTACTTTTCATTCAACCCTGGTACATTGATCTGTGAAGATGTGCCCATTGGGGAAGTGGAGGCAAGCTGTAGCTCTGCTTCCCCAGAGAGCGCTCTCTCTCTCTCTTGTTGTCTTCCTCTCTTTCTCCCTTCGGCCGGCAGGGGGCGCTGGTTGGCCGGGCGGGGAGGGGAGGGGCGTGGAGTGACGCGGGGCGGGCCTGGGCTTCTCCGGGGTCCGCCGAGCCGCGAGTGGGGTCCGATCGAGCCTGGAAGGAGCGCGCTACAGGTAGGCTCCTTCGCCCGGGGAGAAAAACACGGGCGATCCCTTCTCCCTCCTCTTCCTCCTCCCTCGCGTGGAAAGTTCTCCCCATTCCGTCTTTCACGAAACCATGGCGCCTCCTAAGAAGTTCCACGTCTCTCGTGGGAGATCCGAAGCGCCCCCTTCCCCCACCGCGCCTCGATGGCTCCTTTAAGAGTGACTCCGCTTTGCCACCCAACTTGGGGGACACGCGTGCCCCTTCCCCGGGCAAACCCAGTTCATCCCAGTGTTTTGACTGGGAGCCGGACTCACTCATCGGCCTGATCGTCACTGTCCTCTCTCTTCCATCCGCCCTCTCCCTCATCTACTTCTGTGGCTCCGTGGATGGGACTTATAGTACTCCAGTTCGACTATAGTTGCATCTACACAAGGCATGGGCCAACTTGGGCCCTCTAGATATTTTGGACTCCAACTCCCACCATTCTTCAACTCCCACTTAACTCCCGCTTAAGCGGCTGAGGGGGAAAAGGAAAGGGCCTGAGGCTGTGAGGAATGGTGGGAGTTGGAGTCCAAAACACCTGGAGGGCCCAAGTTGGCCCATGCATGAGCCATCTCGACCTACTCATTTGCATATGGTTTCTGATTGGCTAGTCTCAACATTCTAACATTTTTAAGTGGCTGAGGAGGGAAAGGAAGGGGTTTGAGGCTGTTAGGAATGATGGGAGTTGGAGTCCAAAACACCTGGAGGGAAGGACCAAGTTGGCCCATGCCTGGTGTAGATGCACCCCACCCCATCTGCGACTCTCCTTTCTTGGCTCCCTAATGGGACATAGTGCTCTGCCTCTTGTTAAGTTTATGTGGGGTATCTACGCTGTAGGTTGGATGCAGTTTGATACCACTTTATTAGGGAGAAATCCAGTTTGTTGGCACTTTCATGTTTGAAAACTGCAGACTGAAATTCTAGTTTGAGGGTCTCTGCTGCAATGAGTGCAAACAATCATCTGTTTTTACATGTCAGCCAACTAAAGATAGAATCATAGAATCATAGCGTTGGAAGGGACCTCATGGGTCATCCAGTCCAACCCCCTGCCAAGAAGCAGGAAAATCGCATTCAAAGCACCTCTAACAGATGGCCATCCAGCCTCTGTTTAAAAGCTTCCAAAGAAGGAGCCTCCAGCACACTCCGGGGCAGAGAGTTCCACTGCTGAACGGCTCTCACAGTCAGGAAGTTCTTCCTAATGTTCAGATGGAATCTCCTTTCTTGTAGTTTGAAGCCATTGCTCCACTGCGTCCTAGTCTCCAGGGCAGCAGAAAACAAGCTTGCTTCCTCATCCCTATGACTTCCTCTCACATATTTATACATGGCTATCATGTCTCCTCTCAGCCTTCCCTTCTGCAGGCTCAACATGCCCAGCTCTTTGAGCCGCTCCTCATTGGGCTTGTTCTACAGACCCTTTATCATTTTAGTCACCCTCCTCTGGACACATTCCAGCTTGTCAATATCTCTCTTCAATTGTGGCGCCCAGAATTGGACGCAATATTCCAGGTGTGATCTAACCAAGGCGGAAAAGAGGGGTAGCATGACTTCCCTGGATCTAGACACTATGCTCCTATTGATGCAGGCCAAAATCCCATTGGCTTTTTTTGCCAATGTGTCTGCACTGCAGAATTAATGCAGTTTGACATCATTTTAGTGATGGAATCACGGGAGTTTTTGTTTGCGGAGGCCCCAGCACTGTTTGTCATAGAAGGTAAAGGCCTTATAAAAATGACAACTCCTATGATTCCATAGCATTGAACCATGGCACTTAAAGTGGCATCGAACTGCATTAATTCTACAGTGTAGCCAACTAAGGATGCATCTATACTGCAGAATTAATGCAGTTTGACACACCACTTTAGTGATGGAATCATGGGAGTTGCTGTTAGGCGAGGCCCCAGCACTGTTTGTCATAGAAGGCTAACAGCCTTATGAATCAACAGCTCCTATGGTTCCACAGCATTGAACCATGGCAGTTGAAGTGTCATTGAACTGCATTAATTCTACAGTGTGGCTGTACCCAGGGTTACCCAAACTCAAAATAGCGTATTGTTGTAGTTTGTTGTAGTCATCAAAGGTTTTCATGGCTGGAATCACTGGGTTGCTGTGAGGTTATGGGCTGAATGGCCATGTTCCAGAAGCATTCTCTCCTGACATTTCGCCCACATCTGTGGCAGACATCCTCAGAGGTTGACCTCACAACCTAAGAGGATGGCCTGGCATAGATGTGGGTGAAACGTCAGGAGAAAATGCTTCAAGAACATGGCCATATAGCCCAGAAAACTCACAGCAATCCATGCCCTATTGCTCTCTTGCTTCAGGGGACCTTCTCGGGATGCCGGATAGAAAGTAGCCCTCACCAAGGATTGTATATTCATTATATACAATTATATGTGCATTATATATGGACTGTCCTTGTCCCTACGTATACGCAGATCCTTCTCCTTATTGCCAGTGTTGACCCATAATTGACCTACTTAGAAATTCCAGCCTTTGAGATGTTGGTTTTGACATTATTTCATGTGCTTCTGTGTCAGGCATGAGAAATTAGACCAGAGCAGGTAGTCTGTATCTCTTTCCTAGAGGATGACTTTGTTAATATGTTGCTTAAAAGGATCCACTGCTGCGGAACCTATTCAAGATAACTATTTTATATCAGTAAGGTCAGCAAGTACCACACGTTGGGTTTGAGGATGTGTTTTAAAAGTAACAGCTAACTTTCCTTTTGAAAACATGAAAACATGAAAACATGACACAGAAAAATTGTTCTCATGGAATTAAGTAGGACTTACTTAATTCCCTAATGGGGAGAAAGGCAGGATATAAATAAAGAGATAAAGATATAAATAAAGATAAATAAAATATAATATATGATTTCACTATAAAGAACTATTGCCATTTGCAAAAGTCAGATATTTGTATGCTGCTTTATATAGAGTGGGGCCTTGGTATCTGCTGGGGTTTAGCTTCAGGAACCCCTGTGGATATCAAAATCTGTGGATGCTGGGGTCCCATCATGTACAGTGGCATAGCAAAATGGTAGCCCATCTGTAATATGGCAAAATCAAGATTTGCTCTTGGGATTTCCAAAAGATATTTTCAAGCTTTGGATGGTACAGTCCGTGGGTGCAGAATCCAAGAAGATGGTGGGTGATTGTACTTCTCTGTTTGATTTAATTGCTTATTTGCCCATACCATTTTGGATAGGCAAATTTAAAAATTCAGGAGAAAAATTGTCTTTTTATCTGAGACAAGAGTGTATCCTACACTTGAATTATTATCCTACAAAACCTTCCTGGACTGATGAAAAAGCCCTCCCGATTAACTCCAGGCAATTTTCTTGGTAATTTAATGTTTATAATCAAATCATAGTGAAGTTCAGACATCAAGTCATGTTTATTAGGTTACTGGTTGACAACTGAGTTTTTGCACATTCTGTGAATTCTATTGACCAGATGCCACATTCCACCATTCTTTAACATTTCTGTATATACTTGAGTATAAGTCTAATTTTTCAGCCTTTTTTTAGGCTGAAAAAGCCCCCCTCGGCTTATACTTTGGTCAAGGTTATTTATTATTTTACTCTGTTATTATTGTAATTATTAGTATTACATTTATTCTTTTACTCTAATTATTATTATTATTATTACATTTATAATTTAACTTTATTGTTATTACATTTATTATTTTATTCTACTTATTATTGTGATTATTACATTTCCATTACTTTACTCTATTATTATTATTACATTTATTATTTTACTCTATTGTTATTGGAAGGATACATAAGCAAATTTACATTGAAAAGGGTTAGAATAATGGTTTAAGCAGAGTTGGGACAGTATTATTTTAAATTACAGTTTTATGTAAATATTCATAAACATTTAACCTACTGATGCCTCAATGTAATTTTATTGATGTCTAATTTACCAGTAGCTGTTGCATTTCCCATCCTCGGCTTATACTCGAGTCAATAAGTTTTCCCAGGTTTTTTTGTGGTGCCTCGGCTTGTATTCAGGTCAGCTTATACTTGAGTATATGCGGTACTACAATGATCTGCTCGTTGTATAGTGGAGAGGATGTGGTAAGGAATGGCTCAAACATTTGCATTTATGGGAAACCACATTATACAGTACCAGATTGCGGTATAAAAATGGTGTGATTGTGAGCTGTTCCTGCTCACACATGAATTGGCGTGTGTTACGGATATGTGCATGTAGAGGCTTGACACTAGAGTCTACCATACTAGATCATTTGCCCTCTGCAACTGTGGCTTTGCTTTGACTCAGGCTCCCGATATTGACATTCCTTCAATTGCCAGGCTTCCCCTCCCATTAATTTCTGGACTTTACTGGATGGGTCCATTGGAGGGATGGCCTCTGATGGGTCCAACCCCTTCAGCCATTTCTACGAGCAACACTGCAGTGGCCACCATTCCTGGTGGATAATCTACTTTGCTTGTGAGGATGCACTCTTAGGATGCACCTGCACTGTAGAATCAATCCCATTTAACAACCATGGCTCAATGCTATAGAATCCTGGGAGTTGTAGTTTTACAAGGTCTTTAGCCTTCTCTGCCAAAAGCTGCTGGTGCCTAACCAAATTAAAATTCCCACGATTCCATAGCATTGAGTCAAACTGCTTAACTCTACAGTACAGATACACCCTTAGAAGTGGAGGCTGGAGTATATAGCAGCACTACTGCTGCAAAGTCCAACTAGTAGTAGTTCCTGGTATGTCCATCACAGGGTGCAAACAAATGCACCCTGTGATGGACCTGTCCCCCAAAATGCTGGAGTCAAATGCCTGCATCTACCGTATTTACTCAAGTCTATTGCGCCATCGAATCTAACACGCACCTCAGTTTTCAAAACCCTGAAACCAAAACCAGTATTTACTGCCGAATGTAATACACAGTGGCAGAAGTGCACTCTTTATAATTTAGCCATTACAATTGCTGTATGCTTAGAATTCCTCCTTCAAAAAC